AAGTGTACGACTCTCAACCTTCCACGTTAGTCTCCCGTCAAGGTTTTTCTCAGTTTATTTTTTTATTTTAATTACATAATAAAATAATCATATCTTATTTTTTATTTTATTTTATTTTTTGACCAGTAGATGGTTAGGAAGTTAGTAGAGTTAGTTTGTTAACAGGAATTTTTTCAGGAAAGTGAACGTTCCATTAGGTCGTAAGTTGGTAGAGTTCACGGCGGTGGCAAAACTCGAAACCCTGACCTCCGCCTCACCCAAACCCTAAAGTTTGGGGGCAACCAATTGGGCCACAAGCCCGGTTGGCATTTTTTATTTTATTTTATTTATATATATTCATAAATATTTATATATCATATAATTCAAATTTAAAATTTTTTATTTTTAATAAAAATAAAAAAAAAAAACAACTCAACGGTTAAAAAAAAAAGAAGATTTTAAGAAAAAATATTACTACCATAATCGAAAGCAGTTTGATTGGAAGTGCGTGTACAAGAGCCCACCACATCTGGGATAAGCAACTCCAGTATCATGGTATCCCCTGTATCTTAAATCTTTTTTCCTTTTTTGGCCGAGAAAAACCCAACCGTTGAAAGGCCGGAAATTTCTGGGGAAGAAGAGAAAACGAAAAGGCGAGAAGAAGAAGCAAATCTCGTTAGCTGATTTTCCATTCTATGCAAGCAGGTATGTAAATTAGACTCTCTCTTTTTTTTCTTTATTTTCTTATTTCATTTGGTATTTCTCTATCTCTGTTGTCCCTCAAGATTGAAAACCTTGTCGGTAATTTAGGGTTTGGTGTGGTGTTAATTTTGATTTCTGCTTCTGATTGTTTGGAAAAATGTATAATTGTTCATTTCCATTGGATTATCCATTGAAATTTATCTTTCAATCTAATGGACTACAAATTCATAGACTCTACTTTTGCTTATTATTGCCTGCAATTTCTTAATATATATGCTATTTGAATCTCCGAAATCACGTTTTCCCTTTTAGTGAGTAGGGTTGTATTGAATTCATCATTCATGTATGTGGGTAATATTAAGGACCAAAAACGCAGAGTCATCTGTTAGCCTGAGATTTTTGCTCTATAATTTGCCTGTGTTGGATCTTCAAAAGCTACAGAACCATTTGTGCTGAGTCTCAATTATGTTCCTTACTATCTTAGTACACTGAGTCAATCAATGGGACGACACTAGTTTCAAATTTCATTTCTCATACTGATGCGGTTTGATACTTTTCGCTGGGTTTGGGTTTGGATTTGGATGGATGAATTTTTGTCTTTTTGTCGTTTTGTTTTGTAAATTATGTAAAAGTAAAACACCCACTTCCTAGTTTGTTCTTGGTTTCTTGCCTTTGCTTTCAGATGAATAAACTTTCTAGTTTACGATAGGGCTGTCTTTTACTAGCATTGGTTTTTTTGCTTTGATTAATTGGTTATTTGATTTCAATTTTCCTTTAAATGTTTTTTTGTGAACCACTTGCAAAGCAAACAAACATACATCTCTTTTCTGCTTGCCATTTGTCAAGTCAGACACTGCAACATACTCCAATGTCTTCTTTTCAATTATGTAGTATGCATTTGACACATATAAAATGATGCTTAATGCTTCATGCTTTGATTTCTCCTGCTAATGGCTTCTATATGTGTGTTTCAGAGAATACAAACCATAGCTCCTAACTAGAGTGGCTGAAGATATCAATCATGAACCGAGGAATGGCTTCTCTTGGTCAAGCTCCTTCTATCATGTCCATTAGAACTCCTCAAGCCTACCCCCAAAGGCTGAAGATATTAAAAGTCTCAAGGATCCTGCACACTCTCACCTTCCCTCATATCCAAATCAGAAGTCATCCTGTTGGTTGCACGAAGTTGTCTCAATGGGAACCTTCACCAGTCACATATGCTCCCACTGAAAAAACTGGGGATAACTTCTTGGAGAAACGTTCCAACATATTTGACACTCTGGATTCTGATAAAGGTGAGGAAGCACCAGTGATTAAGACCGAAGATCTTGCAAACACAACTAACCAGGTAGCAGTTCAATTCCAGTTTCTTAAATGGCCTATGTGGCTGCTGGGCCCTTCCCTTCTCCTTGCCACAGGCATGGTACCCTCTTTGTGGTTACCAATATCTTCCATATTTCTTGGTCCCAATATGGTCAGCCTGCTATCCTTGGTTGGCTTAGATTTCATCTTCAATCTGGGTGCAACGCTTTTTCTCCTCATGGCTGATTCCTGTGCCCGGTCAAAGAACCTGGAACAAGCCAGCAATAGCGCACCTCCTTTCAGTTATAAATTTTGGAACATAGTAGCAACATTGACTGGACTCATCACCCCCTTGCTAATGTTGTTCGGATCACAAAAGGGATTCCTTGAACCTCAGTTATCTTTCATCTCATTTGCAGTTCTATTGGGTCCATACGTTTTACTTCTGTCGGTACAGATTCTCACTGAGATGCTGACCTGGCACTGGCAGTCACCGGTCTGGTTAGTGACCCCCATTGTCTACGAGGCTTACCGTGTTTTGCAGTTGATGAGGGGATTGAAACTTGCGGCCGAGGTCACTGCACCAACATGGATGCTGCATACTATCAGGGGGCTGGTGTGTTGGTGGGTGCTGATCCTTGGTGTGCAACTCATGAGGGTTGCTTGGTTTGCCGGTTTTACTGCTCGAGCACGTCAACAATGGTTTTCTGCTTCTCCTTCAGCAAATGCTCAGTGATAATTACCAAAAAGAAAAGAAGAAGAAGAATTGTACTTGTTACCTGTATGATGTTGTAAATTTCTGCAAACAATTATTAGAATATTTGAAAAAAAA